ATTAGTGTTCAAAGCCTCTAACCTGTTCCTGAGATGGTTGAATTTCAGAACCATCTCAGGAACAGGTTTGAGGCAAACTTCTAAGTTTACTTTTTTCCGTGCCCTCACTGGAACTACCACTGAGGCCCATAATTATACCATCAACCCCTCCAAGGTAATCTAGGCTTTGCTTTTAGATATTTCAAAACTTTTCCAGCTTCTTCTCATTTCTCAATTCCAAAACTACTTTCCCATTGCACATATTAGATCAAAACCTTGCCTATTGCTTGGTCTTTAACATAGCTATCTTAGTTATCTAGTGCTGCTGTAAAAGGTATACTACAAAAGGGTAGCTTTCATAGAAAGAAATTTATTTTCTTACTGTTTATCAGCAAAGAAATTTAAGTTCAGTGAGCCGCATTTAATGGAAAACTACCACTTTCGCTACTGGCTTTGGAGGAAAGTCTGTTTTATTGACCTTCTTAGTCTGGATAATCTTCATCATGGGGTGTGGCATCTCTCCCCCACTCCCCCTGTGTCTGCTTGCTCTGTCTTACTAATCAATCTGTGATGTAACTAAAAAAATGATTAGCTTAAGACTCTAATGACCTAATGACCCTAATGGGTAAAGATATGTGCTGCCAACCCAAAGGCAAGCGGTTCAAATTCACCAGCTGCTCCACAGAAGATGGACAATCTCCTCATGTACAATTTATAGCCTCTCAAAGCCCACTGGAGGGTGAGCTATGAGTTTGTTTTGACTTTGCAACAATGTTGTTGTTATGTGCCGTCGAGTCGCTAGTGACCCTATGTACAACAGCCCTAAACTGCGCTCTGTCCCATGCCAATCACACCGTCTCCGATACACCCATCCCAATTGCCCCAGTCACTGAATCAATGAGCCTCATAGAGGGCCTTCCCCTCCTATGCTGTCCCTCCACCCTACCAAGCATGATGTCCCTCTCCAAGGACTGGTCCCACCTTACAATATGTCCAAAGTATGTTAGACGGAGCCTCAGAATCCTTGCCTCCAAGGAGCCACCCAGTTTAACCCTTTCCAGGATGAATCTGTTTGTTTTCTTAGCA